ACGATTATTATTTATTAAATTAGCTTTGCGAATCATTCGTTGAACTATGTTCGGACACGGAATTATTTAAATAAAATACCATTAACGTAAAATATCATTTACGTACTTTGTTAATCTTCACTGTACACCTTGCTCAAAAATTTCATATGTTACACACGAGGTGTCATGCACACTAGAAAATTAAAACGGCCGTCACGGTTAAATTACTTATTATTTCGGGTCCGAAAAATTAGTAAATATTCTTCAGACGTTCTAAAGTAAAGGTGAACAGCGTTTTTCTTAAAAATATCACTGTTACGTAGTAAAAAAAAATCCCAAAAGTTCTCGCTTCGTAATTTGTTCAATACTTCGAACGTGGCTCGAGTCCGTCCCGACCATCTGTCAAAGCCTCGTGCTGCGTACTCTCTCGCGGACTCTCTCTCTCGCACCGTCACCTCTCATTGGCCAGTGTTTTTCGTTAATAACTCGTAAACAAAGCCGCGGATTGCATTTTCGCAAAGGAAAAAGTTACTTCAAATGACCTCAGCTACCCCTCATTTTCGGCTGTTAAAATAATTGTGGGACACCCTGTATATATATATATATATATATATGTGTATCTTTTTTATTTACAATATTTCACATATATATACAGTTGTATTTAAATTCAAGATTTTATGATTTTATGACTTTAATGAAATGGTTTGAAATAAAATAATTGAAAAAAATAGATGACTAAGATATCGAACCGATAGATTTCGAAGATGATTTCCTCGAGGATCGAAGATTTCTCGGCGGCAGCCAAACTGAACATGACTTGGGAATGGATTTGTAGCGCTGGTTGAAAGCAAAACCAGAGCCGGAGCCAAGCAATATACGATCAGGCAAATTTATGACGGTGCCGACAGCGAAAGTTTTCTCCGTCCTATAATTTTGCAATTTGGCGTACGGTCAAGTTCGCCGACTCGCGCGCGTTTGCTTGAGAAAGGACTAAACTATCGGAGAAAACGTGTCCCGTCGAAGCGCCGCACGACGATGACGTCGGAGATGCGATTTTCTAGAAAGCGGACGTCGATGTGTTTCCTATTGTTACGAGCCCATTTAACCGAATGAAAACGAAACGACGCATCAATTCGGTTCATAGGAACCGGTCGAACGGAGCTGATATAATTCGATCCGAGAAATGATTTTGTTTCGAACGCGCTTTGTCCGCGACCCCGTTTCCGAAACAACATCGAATTTATTATCGAGATCGTACGTTGTTCGATTGCAGATCATCGCAGATATATTCCACAGAAAATCGAAACGTTCGTTTTCGCGGAAGGCGAATTTCCGTTCGTTATTTGCGTTCACGGTGTTTTTGAACGATAGCGATTTAGCTTCTGCCAAACGGCGCGTGAACAGGATAAATTGCTAGCTTAGTCAAACAGAAACGCAGTTCCCCGTGCGATTTGCGATGCAGGACTCTGCACTTTGTCCGCGATGACTATGCCGATGATACAAACAGAGACGGCCACTTACGTTTACGGTGATCTTAAATCGCAGAACGTTGTCCGGTTACCGATGCATTAAATAAACGCGAACCGCGCGGTGTTCCACCCTTGAATTTTGTTAAATAATTACATTACTGTAACATGCCCGTGTACGAAGTGCTAAAAAGATTGGTAAACAAAATCTACATAAGCAGCGCACGCGACATGTTAGGTCGTTAAGCACGAAAAATGCATACGTTACACTGTAATTTAAAAATCTGCGCACTTCGTACTTAACGGGCTAATTCCAATGCCATGCTTATGCAACATTCGCAAATTTAATTCAGTTCACGTCGAACGTTAAACAAGAATAACAGAGGCGGTAAAACTCCAAATATAAAAATGAATCGCGACTGTAAATTTGCGCCGTGAAAAAAAAAGTTCCTATTAATCTGTTGAAAGCGGTTTATCGATTAATATACAGGCATACACATAACGTTTCGTTTACGTGCGGCTGGTAAACGAATCTGGGTTAGATCTTGCAACTTGCAACCGACACGCGTCAATCCTCTTAGAGGATTTTCGTCAGTTTGACGGAACACGATGATCTTGTTTTCCGTTGGATTATTAGAGAGGAAACTATGTGTCGCCCCGGAGATGCTAAATTGCACCAGCACGTGTATGTGTACGTGCATGCGTGTACACGCGCGCGCGCGCATACACACGCACTTGGCCGCGTACAGGTACACAACACAACGCTTTAAAGACTATGAATAAAGGATGTGAAAGGGGAGGGTGTATCTATACGTGGCTAATTAGACAATAGGTCAAGGTTCAAGAATTTTCTATCCCTGTGCCTAATTGTTGTCTCATAATTGCATTCTGCTTTATTAAAATCGTGGCGCCACTTGCGGTTAGGATTAATAATTGTGGCTAAAATAGTTTCTGCGTTTCGGAGACACACAACAGTTCGAGATGTAACAAGCGTTCGGGCAACGTTTCATTCGCGCTATCCGAATCGTTGCAGCCGCGCAAAAAGTTCGCGAAGCAGAGCTGAATTTCACTTATACTTTATTCCATCGAACAGCGGTTATTGACTAATGGATTTACTCCGTGGTAATTGGTCAAGGTCGGGGTGATTTCGTGTCCTTTTGATTATGTTTACTTAAGGAGCGACGATACGGGCATTTTTTTCTTGTATTTTGATACTATATTTTCGCGCTTCTTACGGAAATCGATAACTCGAAGAAATTATTCGATCGATAGGTTCGAAATATTTCAGCTCTTTCGCAACGCGATCGGTATATGAAGTTAATCACGCTGAAACGGTATAAAAATAAAGTGTCCCACAGTTCGCGGCATTGTGAATCAGAAGCGGAAATAATAAAGCGCGATTTAAAAGCGGCGACAAGAAACGCCTTTTGCGTGCTTGCCTTTGAGTATAACTATGGCAAGCCTTTTGCTTACGAAACCTTGTACGAAGACACAACAATGGTTTCCTAACTATATTCGTGTCCGACACGTCGAAGTACGTACTCCGAACGATTTGCGATGCGACATCGAAGACAATTTGCGCGTTATCAATTTACAACTGATTTACTGAAACAAAAAAAGAAAAAGAAAAAAGAACAAAATATTCGTATTCTTTGCAAATTGACGGATTCGCGGTACGCATTGTTGGCCAAAGAAATCAGTCTCCATCCGCGCACTTACGTCTCCGATCAAAGTACCGCAATATAAACTATAAATAAACGCGCAATCTACATGTATGCGCACGCTAATGAGGCATCATAACTCCTTACCTTCCGACAGTTATCGAGACACATATGCGTTTGTTCGACTTTCCTCGACGCTAGAACTACGGGACGCTAAAGACGACAACTTTATAAATACGTTATTCAAATAATCGGAAAAAGATGCAAAATCGTCCTGTTTAATTCGAAATCACTGCCGTTCAACGCAGCGTCGAATTTAACGCGCGACTGAACTTTCTACGTTTCGGAACTTTCAACGATTCAGCGGAAACGGCTAGACCAGTTAATTATCACCGCCTGTTTTCCCCGGCGAAGCAAAATTAAGAAACAGGTGGCTAATGATTGGACGCGAGCAGGGAATCGGGACTTACCTTTTTTTTGAAACAGCTGCATCTGGTCGAGCTGCGCTGGATCTTCCCCGGGACTTTCGTTGCCGGGATCAGCCTCGGACGACATAAATTTCACTTCCGATAGTTCCTGCTTCCGGTAGTGGAATGAACAAAGACAACCTCGGCCGACCCGCCACTGCACACCTTGCCAATGCCGCTTCCTCGGCTGTGTCGTACCGGTGGAATTTCTGAGGATGCCTATCGACCGCCTAGTTGTGCCTCGAGGCACAATCGAACCAATCGACCAATGAAAGTAATAGAGAATAGTCACGTGCGGGGTCTCGGCGATATATTAAAGTATTAATCTGTCGCACAAACGGCCGCGTCCGGGGTGCCAAAATTCGTCACGTTTCGCGCCGCGCGTTTTGCAACGGCACAGTTTCACGTTCGACGCCGCGCGTACCGAAAAACTATATATATATATGTATACGTGTGATACGTGTGTATGTATATCTTCGATCGATCGCGCGATGAATGAAATTTCATTCCCGGACCGACCGGAATCGTTGCTCGTGGCTCAACAATAGGCCCGCGGACAACCGGGTGACGTTACTTTCACCGGTGCGTCTAAACTCGAATCGCGAGGAATCGGTGTTTGTGTTGAATTACGGCAACCTGTCTCTCCGCGAACACGCACACACACGTGCCCACGGCACACGGTATAACGCGTCGTTTAAACGGCGCCTCTTGCAACCGAATTTCCGCGGACTTTGTTCCTGCGACAACTGTCTGTCTCTGGTTCATCGAAGATACCACGAAATTATTATGAAATGAAATTCGAAAACGCTAAACCTACCGAGCCGTTCGCAATTTTTGTTTCAAAATTACAGAGATTATGAAGACCCTTTCGCGACTGAAATAATTTCTCGGTCGACGCGCACGTTATAACAAAAACTGCGAAAGACCTAAATAAATACGGTCCTCTCGTTGTAGAATAACATGCGTCATGTCATTTCAAGGGATATCGGCGTGTTTAGTGTTTCGAATACAGTACAGAAAATTGAATATTTTTGAGAGATCGATGCAAGTTGCTTTACTCTTTAATTTCTTTTTTCTCTGTTGAAAGAACGCATCGCATCGGTCTGGATCGCGTTATTTTTACCTCTGGCAACTAAGTTTGTCACAGTGTAGCAGCATCTTGGAACGCATCGTCGTACGTTTGGCGGGGTGTTACAGTATTTTCCGAATGTGTGTGGGTCAATGGTCGCGATTCGGTGACGTGATCGGTGAGTTTTCTGGCCCGAAACGATGACAGAGCCGTATTTACTGTTAGCGCGGATAGACCGACTGAAACTGTCGTCCTCGTGCTGCTAGGAAACGTTATCGCGGTGTTAATTCCGGAAATCCAGTGGTGTTGAAAGATTAAGGTCAAGACGAAGTGCGAAATCGCATTAATGATCGTGTGTGTGCGTGCGTGTGTGCGTGCGTCTCGATGCGTGGCGTCTTCGTCGGTGCATGCGGATCAGAGTTCGTTGCGCAAAAAGAATTTCTGACAGGGTTTACTGAACTTTATTAACACGTAACAATGAAACCGGAAGTTAGGTAGGATTCGGTGTTTATGAGAAATTAGACGATCGCACGCGCTTTTACGGACCGTTCCCGGTAGACTGATTGTGAGATAGTCCAGTCGAAAGTCTAAAGGTTTATTTTTTGGTCAGATTGTCGCGCCCAAAGGGGTATAACGTGGCCAATTGCGACGAAACGATTTAGTCCGGCCGATTCTCTACAGCCCCGCTCGAACAGATTCCGCCTGTGCTAAGATGACTAAAAAAACCATTACAAAACTAACATCTTTTCTTTTCTCTTTTTTTTTTCGTTTTTTTTGTTTTGTTTTTTTTACTTCCTTCATATTTCATCAATGTCCGGCTATACACGTTTTGTTTCACGGTAATACTTCCCTATAGCCTCAAAAGACACTTTATTTTTCTTTGTATTTACGTAATTGTACTAGTTCCTCGTAAAGGTCGGACAGCGTTTTGAATATCAAACGCCTAGCCGATCAACGTTTTCAACGGTCATTACACGCGACATCGCGTTCAAACATCCCTCAAACAATACACGGTAAACGTTTCAAAAATAAGTATCGATACTCATTCCATTTCATCTACACTGTCGCACGTTCGATCTTATACAATAAAAACGGCGCTATAGTATTAACGCGCAGAGGGCTCGCTGCGCCAAACGATTTGAACGAGAGAGCACTATTGAGAGATACAATTCATAAGAGTAGTATACGTATCTAGGAATAACACCTGTGTGGAGTACAGAGTAAGACTTATTGCGTGATTCTTACTTGCAAGGAGTGCTAGCCAAATGGTCCCCTCGGATCGCCATGAAACTAACATGTAACACGAATGTCGGAAAAATATTCGACATGCACGAGCATTAACGGCTGCCATTCGCGTTCGCGTGCATTTCAATTGTGATCTGGTTACCGCGGAACACCTTCGTTTATCCTCGTAATCGTCTACCAATCTAGATACGAATCAAATACGAGCAAGCTGCAATCTCTAACGTCAAACTTTGTGATAAATATTATAACAAACGCTTCGCGCGTTCGTGTCATGCGCGTTGAGACCTTTTCTTTTTTAGAAATAATAGTATCTGTCGAGTACTTTGTCGAGCTTTACACATTACACGGTATACGTTTCATGAAAGTCGGAGGGGCAAAACTTGGATAACGCCCGTTGTTAATGACACTCGATCTATGCCCGATACAAGTAGGATTATACAGCTGAATACGCGCGCATCGTCATTTATTTAAAAGTACAATTTCAACGGCTAACAGGATGAACACCTGATCCCGAACCCGATATTTCGAAGAAACTTGAAGAATCTCTCGACGAGCATCTTTTCGTGTTGGTCTCGTTTGGTCGCGAGCTCGCCGAGCTTCTCGGTCCGCGCGCAAAACGCCTCCACAAGAAAATCATGGCACAACATCGCATCGTCTTCTATCGCGGCTAACTTGTTTTGAACGTCCGCCGCCTGGACCGATTCCTCGGCACTCTCGTCGTCCGTTCGGCAGGAATGCTTTATATACATCGCGATGAAACGCACGAGAACACACGCCAGGAACCTACGGTGACACCAGAGAGCCTCGTAGTCGTTATACATGCAAATAGCGCTCTCGTTCGCGCGGCATTCCTCCGCCCAGTAAGACAGAGTACGAAAGTACGCTTGTTGTTCCGCACTCGTGGAACTCGCTTTATATTCTGTCTCCATAACGTTGAACAGCCGCTGTAATTTATGCGCGTCACCGATGTTAGATTTAATGTACGCGAACAGTTCCTCCCTACATTGCTCGGTGATCGCCGGACACTTTATCAACGACTCTCTAGGTAGTTCTTTGAACTCGAACATGTACTTCTGCAACAAGAATTGTCGATAGGAAAGTCCGCTGTAATCCGATACGTGTCTCTGACACCACGCAAGCGTGTTCTTCCACTCGTTTTCGAAATTAGGATAAGCGAAGCCTCGCGACTCTCGGAGAGCCATCACGTGCCGCCGGTGACTCCACGCGTTGTAGTTGTTCGCGTACCTGTCCGCGCAGGTCGTCACCAAGTTCAATTCCGTGCATAGAGGCGACTCCGCCGATTCGAAATCGTAACGGCTGTCTTTGGCGTTTAGTACGTACAACAATAACCACTGCCGGTAGGCGAACGCGTCGAAGCATTTCGGCTTATGGTAGAGCACCAATCGTGAGAAAGCAAATTCCTCCGACACCTCTAATTTGTGGCTTCTCACTAACTCCCGTCGCATATTCCAAAACGTCGTGACATCCGGATTTAATAGCAGAGCGCCCAGTAACCATCTTGCTATTGTGCTAGGCTCCTCGCGCCTGTGTTTGTTCTGACGAAGTTCAAAGAGTCGGCGATAAGCGTAGCAACAAAGTGGTTGTACGCACCACGAGGCCAATCCAAGAGAGTCCTCCTGATGAAATACTGGTGATTTATTTTCATTATCTTCCGCGGGAACTATTTCGAAGCTCTTCCTGAAATTATACATGAACAATGTTTCTTTCAGTTCTTTCTCCTAAACTATTATAACGAGATTCGTACGTGTGCGATTAATAATTTTTTAAATAATTGCTTTCTAATTATAAGTTAACGGGGTTTTTTTTTTTTAAATACGTTTTCCAACGAATCATAAAATGTATATTACTGGTAAACATATAATATTCTGTGACTTAATCATTGTCGTTATTGTGTTGTTTTATTAAAAAAAAGAAATACAATCTTCGAAAACGAAATAAATAATACAAATTATTTCTAAGGTATATTAGATGTATATCTGTACATGTGAATTACATAACAACACGTGAGACATCTAGAAAATGCTGTAAAAGTAATGATAATTTAGAGGTATGCATAACTATTGTGTTTCCCCGAATGTTTTTAATGTCCGTAACTCCAATTTAATATTTCACTAGTGACAGTTAATAGTACAGTGTATTGACAATAGATCACAACTTGCAAGATTTGCATAGAACTGTATATATACGAAAGAACATGCATTGATAATACTTCTAACATTTAATAATCGTGATGGCGCCATAGTTTCATATTGTAGATATCAGAGAGAGATACCAACATTACTGATACTGTATTTACTATGCAAACCTTTTGCGAAGCGTCGTATGTACGCGTGTCTCATTAAGACTTATAAATGACGGTGTTGTAAATTTGTTGGACCGATGATCGAACGCACAACAACAATGACGTTGAGTCGCGAACGTAACGGACTCACTGACGCATCTGATCGGAGAATTTAGTGACAATTTTCACAGATATTTTTAAAGACTCCGCCCTCGTAATGTATCTACGAAAACACTCACAGTGACGGATTCTTCTTCACCACATTTTCGATGTCGGAAAGAATTTTCTCTGCTGCCGGAAAAATATCGTCTTGCATTGTAATCTTGCCACTATTGTTCGTTACATGTCTCGTAGAATTAAGTATAAACCAATACACGATTAACCCTTCTGTTTCTCTCTTGCTGCACCTTTCAATGCAGACACGATGTAGCGTTTTTCTGCAGAAGTGTTGGGGGGATATACTGTGATACCGTTTGAAGTTTCCTGTAAGTCTCGAACGTTCGAAATCAGATGGCGCGAAATTATTAACGATGAAAGATACTGATAAAGACCAGAATTTGTATTTAACAGTTCCCTGAACGAAAGAAAACGAATTAATGTTAGCAAAAATAATCTCAATGTCTTTTCTGTAAGGTTATGGTCGCTAATATCTTTCACACATGTGCTTATAAATATATATCAAACGGTTTATACTGTTATTATCGTTGCGTATAAATGTTAAACACAAAAGCACATTTATTTTAAGCATTCTAATTGTAGTTATTGTTACTATAGATAATTAAAGTTGAAATGTATTTCTTCCGCGGTAAATACATTCTTGCTTTATGAAAGATATACATTTGAACACTGTTTATTTTAAGGAACAGAAAATAGCTTTCCTGCGTTATTTAATGTAAATATTACAACATTTTTAATGTAAAATTCTGTCCTTACCGTTGAGGCAGCATTGAGAATAAGGAAACGATTAATCGAAATATATCGACAGTTTCGATAAGTGTCATGCTATAGAGGGACAACTTAATGGAGTACAACTCTCCGGCTACAAATCGGTATAACCTATACGTCACTGAATTCCCTCGAATTCATTTATACCTACTCATCTTACCTTATAAGGAAAAACTTTAGTTTAGTCGGTGAACACTACATTTTTGGCACACGAGGTAAACTATTTAAATTAAAACAATGTCTGATCCTCGTATAAGAACTCTAAAGATTAAAACTGGAGTAGTGAAACGTCTCGCGAAAGAAAAAGTTACGTATGAAAAAGAAGCAGCACAGCAACGTGAAAGGATACAAAAATTACAGGAACAGGGTGAGAATACTTTGAATAATGCAATCGGAAGCATATCTTAATTTCTCATTAACTCGATCCTTTCAATAGCTGTGTTATTTGTTGCGTCGCTTCCGTACATTTTTCACCTTTTTTTTTTATACTGCTACGACAGACTGTTTGCTTGATTAAAAAGTAGCTACATCACTTGCTGTAATATTTATAATCGCGTTTACAACACACGTACTGCTGCAAAATAAATTTCACAATTACTCAAATAAATTTCAAGACTCAACATTTTCATATTTGTATTTATTTTGCAGACAAAGATGGTTACGATGTAAAGAAGCAAGAAGAAGTTCTTCAAGAATCGCTCATGATGGTACCGGATTGTCAACGGCGTCTCGTAAAAGCATTTGATGAGCTTAAAAAAATTTTAGAAACGGAACAAGATTTAAAAGAAATCGAAGATTACATAGAAGCTGAGAAAGTATTAGAAGAAGCCGAAGCTCAACTCCCTAAGGAAGGAGGGATTATGGATATGTGTTAGAAAGTGTAATTATATTAAGAAATTGCCAAAAGTTATGAAGAAACTATATTTTCATCTAACAAATACTTTATAAGCAAAATAAAATAATCATTTACCGCACACAACAGTGATAGCATTAAGACATTTTATATTTAATCGAGTTAAGTGGCAATTTTTAATGCTTATGTTTAATGGTTAAAGTATTGCAGAAAGTTCCACAGAAAATTGCTGGAACTAAGATTACAGTATGTATCGTCCAATAGATCAGTCTATTTATAATGCAAATTATAGTATGAATGTTTATCCAAATTATATTTGTCCAATCGGTACATCTTCTGATGTTACCAACGTTACAATTACAAATGAAAACCGATATGCTGACGAAAAGGATATTGAACATATCCTAGAAAAAGTTGACCTGCCTAAGAATATAAACGACCAGAAAAAACTTCAAAAACGTTCTAAAATTGCAACTACCAAAGATGCCATAACAGCAGCATATAAATTAAATGAAAAATTAAAAGTAATTTGTGCAGAACTAAAAAATGATGAAAATTTATCAGAGGAAGAATGGCAAGAGAAAATTAATATTTGTGAAACAGCAAAAAGCGAAATTATGAAGTTATTAGAGCCTATTAAAGATCCAAATTTCTTAAATCACCTAAAGAAACATTTAGAAAGACGTAAGAAAAAAAGATTACGAGAACGAATTAAAAAAGAAAAATGGAAACATGAAAAAGTAATGAGAGCAGAAAGAAGAGCGAGATTACATGCACAGATTGATTCATGGATTAGAAAAGAACAAGCTGTAATAGAGAAGGAGAAGCAGGAAGAAAATTTACGTAAAGATGCAGATATGATCTTATCTGATATTAGAGGGAAACGAAATGATGCAAGGAAATACCTTGGATTGTTACAAGATTTAAAAAATTTGAGAAACATTAAAACCAATATTGCCAGAGCGAGGGGAGAACATTTATCTTCAGTAGCTGATGAAGCATTTAATAATATCATAGGTACTATTACAGTTATATTCAACAAAGCTATATTAAAATTAATACTAATCAATCTATTCTTTCTATACAGCAAAGTTAACAGAACAATGGTCAGCACTTGATAGAGAATATTCGATAGAAGAACAAGGTTTAAAATTGATGTTAAAAACTGATAATGAAGAAAGAATTGAGAAACAAAAGAAAAATGTATTTGATGAGTGGGAAAATGTACTTTTTGGGAGAAATATGTTAACAAATGATCAATATGATATTGATTTAGCTAATTTTATTAGTGTGAGGTAGATATAATATTTAATTATTTTATACATATATTTTTACAGTAACATAATTGTTTTATTTCCAGAACTGCTTGGGACAAATACATAAGTACAGATGGTGATGCATCATCAATTCCACTTGGATGGGTAATGCCTGATAAACCTTCTTCTGCTGCCTGGCAAAAGTGTCTCAAAAAAGAAATACCATGAAGTGAACCAATAAATTGTAATTTAGGGACATAATTATACTTTAATAGACGCCTTAATAATTTCTATTGTATGCACATACTGTATGTAATGTAATTTAGGAAATGTGAAAAACTTCTCTGGTCTATTGCATATTATCTTTTTAATGTTTATACTCAATTTTTATTATCTTATCATTTAGAGAATCTAGCGAATGAAAATACATGATACATGATATTTTAATTTCATTAAAAATATATGAAAAATATGTACAAATTCTTCTATCATGCGTGATGCGACAATATAATGAATTATAATTATGCTATACTTAAAATTAGATTTTTCTGAGCTGCTGTTGATGGTTCCAATGCGAGATTGTCTTTGACTATTGCGGGAGCTACAGTTTCTGCAGCAGATAATATTATGTGTAATTTTCCTTGCAATTCTGATAGAGCTAATATTAAATTTTCTTCTTCTTCCAATTTGTATGCTAAAATAGTAAACATCTTTCGTGGTTCTGGGCCAAGTTCATCCAAACGATCTTCGTAAACATCTGTTAAAATAAAACTTATTAGAATACATTCACTAATCAATATTTTAAAAAGCGTATTCAATACATACCCATTAAAGTATTGGCCACATGTACTAATACTCTTCCAAATTGAACATTTCCCACATGTTTATTTAAAAATTTTATGATATTTACAAGAGATTTGCCGTTTCTACCAGCAAGAGCTTGTTTTAAACCTTGTCTTCTGATAAGTTCTTGCATGAGTGCAACCGTAACATGTGGTGCCTTATTTACAACATAAGTCATCATGACACAGTCCAAAGCTTTTGAATATTGAAACTTTCTTAAATAGGTATCGTGTTTAGACATGATTTCTTTCATATCCTCACTTATTACCATGTCTACATGTGGTGTGTGCAAATTTTTACCCGAATGCCTATATGACACTTTTTTACGTTGTGGTTTCTCTTGCTTCATATCTTCTTCTCTTCTTCTGACAGAAATTAATCCGTCAACCATACCGGCTACTATAGTTTCATCATTCGACTAAAGTGATAAAATTTGATTTAACAATTGACATTTATATTCTATAGCTTATAGATTAGAATATGAATATTTTCTTACACTGGTTCCTATGCTAAGAACTGAATTTGGATAGTCTAATGAATGAACAGTCTTATATGTGCCAGCATCATAAATTTTTACATGTCTATCCAACGAGCCAGATAAGATTCTGTGACCATTTGAAGCCAGTTTCAAACATGTTACAGTTTTATGATGTTGCACAATTTTGGCAAGTAATCTTCCTCCAGCAAGTGCATCCCATACTCTAATTTCTGTTCCACCTTTTTACAAACATGCAACACATATTTTTTTATATATTTGAACTATGTTGGTAAATTATTAATTAAATAAAGTACTCTACCTGCAGACAAAAATATTCCACCAGATGGTAAAAATAATAAACTTTCAACAGGTGCTTCATGGCTAACATTGAGAATTTGTTTGTTTGTTCTTGTATCGTACATATAGATGTGTTTATCGTAACCACCAGATAATAATATATCTTTGGAAATAGGACTAACTGCACCAGCCCTGATATAGTCCGAGTGTTCATGAAATGATATAACTTGTTTTTCACTGGGTATATCCCAAACAACAACCGTTTTATCATCAGAAAATGAAGCTATGTTTAGATTGTTGGCTGTAAAGAAAGTTCGGTGTACGGCAGCTTTATGTCCAGAAAAAAGTCGAAGGAGACTTTTTGTGTTAACATCGAAGAGTCTAATAACTGCTTCTTCACCACCAGCACAAAGCAATTTTCCATCGCTGCGGAAAGAGCCGCCGTAGGCAGCTTCCTTAAATCTGCTAAGGTTCTTTATGACTAGCTTTGTAATTGGATTGTATACTTGTACTCTTACAGAACATGTGACAGCAAAATAATGTGGTTCCACCGGTGAAAAATCAATATAATCTACAGGTCCGAATTCCTTAACCAAAACAGGAGCCTGTTGAATAAATGTAATTCATTTTAAAATATAATCACGTTTACCTAGCTATGCTAAACATAATTGTTAGGTTAAGTTGTACGCACGTGGGTGTTATAAACTAATCGATATACTACTATCATTGAGAAATTTGTTATTTTTACAACTAAAACATACTTACAGTATACTTTTTCCAATATATGTTGTCCGGGGTTAATTCAGTTCCCGATCTTGCAAATACTTTGGTATTTATTTTCTTAAAGGACGCCATTTCTTTAAAAATGTCAGCTGTAATAAAGGATAGTAGAGGGGGCAAACTTCTCTCGTTGACAATTGATGGAAACTGCTCTCTATTTTTCCATAATTATTCAGGAACTGATTCATTTATTGTTATTACTGAATAAAGAAAGTCTATAAAAATATTTTACGTGAAAAGTAGACAACATGATTAGAATGTTTCAGTGGATTTTCTCGAATTTTATACAATTTTGCTGCTCGTTTCAATATGGCGATGGTTAGTTGCTTCGGATCACGAAGGTCTCTTTACTCATGAATTTCGTGACATTCTTTTCTATTTCGTTGTATAATTTTAATATAAAACTCTGATATTCGTATAATTCATTGTAAGTGCATACAAGTTACGTAATTATGAAGTTCTGCAGCTACTAGACAAGGGATTACTTCCGACGATAGCTTTGCTTAGGTAGCTGGATAGATTTGGCAATTACCGTCCTTTTAATAAGGTTTGTTAGATTTTATAAATAATATGTAATATTATATATCGTGAAATTATCATATTCGAAAAAGTTTTACTTTCATTTTTTTTTTAATTCCATAAAAATTCATAGCTTGATTTTGTTCTAGTCAAAGGAGAATTGCTACAAAGAAGAATTTCTTCTTATTTTATTACACACCAACCAAGTTTATAAATATTTCGACAGTCTAAATTGGGATTTTCTTTGACAGCATTGTCTGTATGCAAGAATCTTTCAATGTCACGAGAAAAGTTTATCCATCATTACAATGATCGATTAATCTGTATACACATATAAACAACATGATTGATCTATTGAATTCCTTGTGGAAGTTAAATGAATGAAATATAACTTTTATTATAATGACAAGAAGATCTATTTATGTCCGATTTAAAAAAATAATTTAATTGAATGTAGTAATCAAGCATATTTAACATAATATTTTTAAGACTGTAAGTTAAAAATAGTCTCGATTATTGTATACACAAGAGGTAATTTTGTTAATTACCAAAACAATTTTATATGCAACAAACTCTAGTTTACAAATTATAAAATTTAAACAAAATGGCTGAGACACAGAGAATGACTGTCTACGGCAGATATCCTCCTTGTGCTGATGCAGACCGCTTAGATGAACGTCGTGCAAGGTAAATTAAAATATGAGTATAAATAATTTTTATATATATTTTAATTGTGTTTTAACAATTATTTTGATTTTTTTATACAGATTAGCCTTAAGTCTGGAAAGAAATCGAAAGCTAGATAAGCAAGAAGACTTTGTGTGTTATGAATCAAGTGACGATGAAGCAGAATCTATAAATGAAGGAAAACAGTTTTTAAGGACATCGTTTAACTTTGTGGACTATGTATGTGCTAGGGAAATAGATACAAGAGAAGTGCGGAAAATTAATCAAGAATATGGATTTCGCCATATATTGACTCATGAATTATTTAAAGAATATTCAGTTAGTTTAAATAATATGAATAAAGTTTTTTGCTCTCAGTGGTTAAGTGATAGACAAGTAGTATTCGGTACAAAATGCAACAAATTGATGGTTTATGATGTAGCAACACAAAAGTTAGATCAAATACCATCTCTGCATGGAAGACAAGTTAATTCAGGAGGTGCTGCAGTTCCCGAACAACAATGCGGTATACATTGTGTTCAAATTAATCCGTCAAGGTACATATATACAAAAGTTTATATTATTTGAATTTAATGTGTGATACTTTTTAAGCTAAAAATGTTCTTTTCATGCATTACAGAACACTTCTGTCAACTGGAGCAAGAAATAGTAATGAAATTGCAATATACAGGCTACCAACATTAGACCCAGTTTGTGTAGGAGAAGGTGCACATAGAGATTGGGTTTTTGATATGTGTTGGTTAGATGATGAATTTTTAGTTTCTGGTTCTAGAGACACTAAAATGGCTTTATGGCGTATTGATAATGACCTTGCAGAAGCTCCTGATAAGGCAGATGTACCCACACACAGGTGCAACTCATGATGCAAAGTATAAATAGCAATGTATTTTAAAAATGTATTTTAATCAATTTATTTCTCCTTTAATTAGGCTAATTCAACCAGTCTGTGTAAAAGAATGCAGATCGGCTCAAAGAGTGCGTGCACTTGCTTTCCATAGGACATACAAAGAAATTGCAGCACTCACTTTAAATAGTTTTATACACATTTGGTCTGCTGAGACGTTCAGACAAAAAATATCTAGAAAATTACCAGTTTCCCAAGAAAATGTTTGCCTTGCAGTACAAGATAATGGTGTATATGCAGTAGGATGTCGATCTCACACTTTATTGTTAGATCCAAGGACATTACAAATTATTAAAAAAGTACCATCGCGGTATGTAATATCTGACTCAAACATATTTATTATAATTACTGTATATTTTATTAGCAAGTTATATTTTCCTTTTACAGATACAGCGGCTGTGGAATTCGATCAGCCAGTTTCCAGGGTTCCATTTTAACAATAGGGACAGGATTAGGAATGTTGATGTTTTATGATGTCAGAGCACAGAAGTATCTCGAGTCTTCAATCAATTCTATCAGGACAGTTATACTGAAAGCTTCTAAAGGATATGTAGTAAGTTTCGTATTTTTCAATCTTAATTTAAAATTATCTTTGTGTGAAAAACTAATATCCACATGATGATAATAGTTTCCTGATGAAGAATACATTGATGGATTCCAAAACGTGAGATATACGCCTGCTATATATACTCATTGCTATGATGGATCAGGTACGCGGTTATTTGCGGCTGGTGGTCCTCTACCTATGAATCTTTACGGTAATTATGCAGGATTGTGGCAATAAAATAATCTTAATTAAATATTGAATACCATCGATTTTTACGTAAGTAATAATAATTTGTACATTTAAATTACACTGTCCGACACGATTTTCGGGTTCCTATGGCCACTATGAAATTCTTGTAGAGTTCACTCCCTGAACAAGAATCCGAAAACCGAAATGCTCCATCACCTTCAGTATTTTAAACAAACGAACTTTTGTAAAAACCCAAAATTTTCGAAAAAAATGAGGTATTGCATGAAAAGTAAAAACGTTAGAGAGTTTCCCGAATATAGTGGCCATGCAATTTATTAATTGTTTTTGGTCCTAAATAGCAATAAATTAATGTCAAAGTTTAAAAAAATGTCGACGTGAGTAGTTCCTGCGCAATATTTTTGTATTTTTACGAAAAGTTTTTTGTTCAGCACGAAAACTCTACCTAGGATCGGATTCTGTAAACATTTCTNCCAGGATCGGATTCTGTAGACATTTCTGAAGAAGAAACGGCCCGGTAAAAGTGTCGGGACGATATACATTTCGAGTAGATCGAGAAAATGTTCGACGGCAACATGTTACGACATTTTACCGCCATGAGCTTCGCTGCTCGCTTCTCTCTGTCCGACAGGGACGAAGCTACGCGTAATCAACACCGACGGAGGGATCCAATGGGGCACCCACTTTTCGTAAATAATATCTGAATTTTTTTTAGTACTTCAATGTTCTGTTTTTTTTTTACATATTTCNTGTCCTTCGCTGCTCGCTTCTCTTTGTCCGGCAGGGCCGAGCTATGCGTAATCAACACCGATGGAAGGATCAAATGGGGCACCCACTTAGCGTGTGCGGTGTGCTATTTTGAATTTTTTTTAGTACTTCAATGTGCTGTCTTCTTTTACATATTTCTGTGGATAATAATCACCAANTTGTCCGGCAGGGCCGAGCTATGCGTAATCAACACCGATGGAAGGATCAAATGGGGCACCCACTTAGCGTGTGCGGTGTGCTATTTTGAATTTTTTTTAGTACTTCAATGTTCTGCTTTTTTTACATATTTCTATGGATAATAATCACCAAACAGTGATATATTTCACGAAAAAAATCACACCAGAGTACTAATATATATAATTTTAAGTTTCTAACACTAGTATAAATTTTGACTTCTACGCCATATAATTAAATAAATATTTAAATATATATTTAACGATATGTTTCAAGACGTCAACACTTTTTTAAACTTTGACATCAATTTGTTGCTATTTAGGACCAAAANCTTTTTTTTATTATTTCTCCATTTGAAAATCTTACTTCTATATTCCTTCTATATATTCCTATTCTATATTCCATGTTTTTCGTACTTTTTAATTTATCATTCACAGTTTGGTGATTATTATCCACAGAAATATGTAAAAGAAGACAGCACATTGAAGTACTAAAAAAAAT